GCCTTTTATGAGACAAAATCCAAAGCATGGTTAAATCTCAAACAAAATCATACTTTACCTATGGACATTTTCGTTTCAGTACGTTCTTTTCTATATGTCTATTCAATACATCCGAATCAGTCGTGTATATTAAACTTGAAAGTTAGATTCCATTGCTCAAGATTTAAAAGAAAAATTAGTTTGTATGACAAAATTTTATATCTATAGCATGACTCATACTCGTCTTCATGGACAAGTTAAAGTCTATTCTTATTTTATGTTTTCACACTCATGAAAAAGATATATACGCTCGAATATAGACTCAAACGGGTTCAGAGTTTGGACATGCTTTTTTAATCATTTCGAACTAAAATGACAGACTGAATAGACTCGGAGTTATTAGGTATTAAGAGAAACGATTCTTACCAAAGTTTTTCTTAACTGCACTACAGAAAAACAAGTGATGATAATGCCAAGCTTGACAGAAAACAATCACAAGCTTATTCTCTTCTTAATGCACAATAGATTCGACTCAGACATTTTGTGTATATTATAAACCGCTTGTAACGTGACGTTCGTCAAAGAGCTTTATCACATTTGTACATATATTCAAAAAAATCGTGATAAGTGTCTGTTATAGTTACTAAAGAATGTTTTATAGTGATAAAATTAGAATTATAAATAGTTTTAAATAGTTTCACATATGTTATCAATTATCTTTGTATTCCAGAAAATAACTGCAAATAATTATTAAATTTGACAAATAAGAAAACTCTTTCAACTGATCAATCAGTTTTTTAATGAAAAATATTTGTTTGCAGGTTGTCTTCCATACTGATCGCAAATATATGCATGAAAAATTCTCGCAAGTTTCACATGCTAATTTTTAAGAAAAGCACTCTACCTGGCTAACCAATTTTATAGATAAAATAGTTTTGTGATCTGTTTAATTTGCATAAGATACCGAGTTATCGAGAACACAGTAATGTTTCCTGTTTCAAATCATTTTTCTTTTGAAGAAAATACAACCTTTCTAATTTATGTACCGAATACTTGTCAATATTTCATTGCGAAATTTTCGAGATGATATTATTTTACTTAAAGCTAATGTTTTCAAAAACAGAAAAGACTATTGAGTTATGCACAATGCAATTTCTTTCATAACCGGACTAGATTTAAAACGATTTTGCTTAAATGTTTGTTATTCTAGAAAACCGGCTTTATATAAAGCTAGTATTTGAAGACCTAAGAAATTTGTCATGTCTATATTCGAAATTAATGTGATCGGCAACTTATAACCCACTAGTTTTCGATGAGAAAGCGATTGGTCATAGCAGTTTGTTTGGCTTGTTATAGACTCGAAAATCCGGACCTGCGTCTGTAACAAGCAGGCAGACGCTCAGACACGACAGCCCGTTTGGATCTCTATTCCATGTTAAGTAATCACCGTTCTTCTGTATCCGTCAAACAATCTATATCAATGAACGTTGGATATAATTAAAACTTTATAGCAGAAAGAAGCATAACCAGTGATTAAAGTACCGAAAATACGATAAACATGGCATGACATTATACAACAATTAGTTGGTAAAACTTGGTTTGAACTCTTCATTACTCCAGTGGTAGGCAATGATTTTATTTCAGTTCATTGTATTCTTCCTATAGTGATGCTGTTTTTATTGTTCGATACATACGCGTAAGCAGGTTTGAATTAAGAAGAAATTCAATCAACAGTATATCATTTTTTCGAGAATTTGTCATCTCTATTTTTTTTTATTGATGTCAAAGGAGAGCACATATTTGGCCTACAGAATTGATCAATATCACTATCAAATCAAAAAAAAGACGACAAATAACAAATTTAATATATTCCTAGTTTCATATGATTTTCTTGAAAAAAAAAACCTTACTGTACCAATTCGTCTATTTGTTAGCTCATCAAGTTAAAAAAAATAACCAATCATGGATTCTTATTTTTGGACTGCCACTAACTTCTCACAAGACAGAGCAAAACATTTTTAGTGATTTCTTTGTAAATGAACAATTCTTTTTTAAGAAATGTGGTCTGTTAGTTTCTCGGTGACTTATTCTTGCATTATTAACAACTGTTTCTACTAGCCTATGTATTTTTCTTACTATTGAGAGAAAAGTCATTGTTCTATTAAAAAAGAAATGAGTCATTTGTCTTACTCTTTTAAAATGACATGTTTTTTAATCATTTGAAAGCAACATATTATAAATAAGGGTCACTTTATAGCACAGCTGGCAAATCCAACGATGTACAAAATATCAAACAAGCATATTGCCGTTCTAATGGTCATTTAGTTCAAAACATCGTTCTCATCTAATTGGATAGCAGGATTGATTAGAAATATAACAGTTATTACCAACAAAGCCTTGGCAAATGAAAAAATATTGTCAACTGTATTAGTACATTTACTGATTGTGATCAAGACATTTTCGATCTATTAACAATCGACAACAGAACCCTATGTATTATTTGTTCTGGTTCTCTTGAACAGGCTCTGGTTCAAATTATTCAGAATGTAACTCCAGTGAATTCAATTTATATTTTCTGTGATACCAAAACAACTGTAGAACAATCAGTCAAAGAATAGCCCAAGATCAATGTTTTTTCTTTTTGAAAGAAGTTTCATCGATCTGTACAGCTCTAAAGCAAGTCACTCAATAAAATGAACACAATGTACTTTCTATTAATTAGATTCATAGTCATCAGCAATAATACCTTTAGTAAGGATTTAAATCAATTGAACTCTTCATTTAGGTCTATATGAATTCTCAAAGAAATTTTACTAAGTATCCAAGTTGATAAAAACAGGCATATAGAAATGTATGGACTATCGACGAAAACAGTTCGCCAATAGCAATAATAGATTGAAAATATTGATGCACTGGAAGTTAAATAATATGAGAAAATCATTTTCTGATGTTACATGCATGAATATTTTTTGATATTCAATGATTAATTGTGCCATTGGAATTGTAGACATCCCTATTACAACTAGAATAGATTTCTTCGTTAGTGACTTTTATTGCTGTATTGAAAATTGTATAGAGAACATTTTGGTAACCCTCTACTTGCACAATCGTTTATTTTCTATCGAAATCAAAGTTTGTGAAATATAGATTTTGAATAACTGTTGAAGATAAAAAATGACTTTGTGTCTTCTCATAAAGTTTTATATTCCAGAGTTAAACTCACAACATTTCTCCCGAATTCGCTCGTTAAAATAGCCGACTTGATTATAGGATAATAAATCTACACTACTATGCTGAAACAAGCATTTGATGATCATGAAAAAGTGAGCACTGTATCATAAATCTGAATGAGCAAATCACAACCAAAGAGAATACACAGAAGCAATTATATTTTATGAAAAAATACAATAAATCGACTATAAAACTTTTCCTCGAGATCAACTAAATTCACCTTTATTCTACAATAAAATTAGTGATATGTATTTCGACATAAATAAGTATTCAAAAGTACTTTCTCTTTATGAATATGCCGTGAATATTGGACAGTCTTCACTACCGCCAAGGCACCTTGATCTCTAACTTGTTGAAAAGAACTTCAAACCTTGTTAAAAAAAAGACAATATTTGAATAGCAAGTTTTCAATAAACTCAAATGGTTACGAATATATTGCAGGTACAGAAATGTTTAAAAGATTTCGATGTCCTAACGAAACAGACTTTTCCTACGTATGGTTATAAATTGTCAACGGATAGCAACTCGAATGTGAACTATAGAGAATACAATTTATTTATGATTAAAGTATACTACTATTTTTATTCTAGTGTAACAACAGTTTACTGTACTTACAAAATAAAAACATCATAAGAAAATGTCTATTATACTATTTTTTAGGGAATGTAAAATGGTCGGAAAACGTTTAACAATAATGTATTATTGATCTTTTTCTATTATGTTAAGTACCTAGCTCAAACCCAAATAGTAATATTAATAGTTAATGGAGTTTTTTGTTTAATGCATTCCATATCTTATTTTTATATGGCAAGGTTTTTAAAAAATTGAAGACGAGAATTTTCAAATCCCCGAAGCCTTTTTGTTATAATTACTTTAAAACAATGACATTGTACAAATCAAAAAAATTCTGAATAAAATGAAGGATGCTCGTATTTTCTACAATCTTCTCTGAAAAACTGAAAAGCATCATCAAAATCCAAAAAAGGGCGTTTTTCAACAATTGGGTGATAAATTTCGTTTTTTTTCTTATGATTTTTGTAATGCTTTTAAGTTTTCAAAACAAGGTTGTAGAAAACACAGCGATCCATAGGTTTACTCTTTAAAATGGCATTGTTAATGAAATAGCTTTGACAAAGTCTTCTGGGACCTGAGAACTATTATGTCCGGCTTTTTAGAAACCTTACTATCGTACTTCGTATATGAAATTTTGATCTAGACTAAATTAAATAGAAAACTAAATTCGTTATCGCAATCATTATTTGGATTTGAGTTGAATGCTGAATATTATAGAAAAACATCAAAAATACGTTGTTGTTAAACTTTTTTCACCACCTTATGTACTGTGTGTCATGCAAGTGCACTTCGTTGGACTTCAATTCAATATTTTTCAATTTTGCCAATTTTTTTCATGAAAGGTCCAAGCGAATAGGTTTACTTTAAATTCAATTTAAAGTAAGCTCTACAAATGATGCTTCTTATTTTAATGTGTCATGTCTTATTGACTAATATTCTGTTCTAACAATAACACTTCACTTTCTATTGGATCATAAAAAAAGACATTTTTTGATCGGAATCCCAAATAGTATAAAAATATAAAGAACTGACTGCATGCATATGAACTGTTATTGAAAAACTCTTTGAAAGAAATTTGTAAAATTATTTAGATTTGAATATAGATTTTCCTGCGTCATATTAATGTTAAGATTTTACAATCGTTTAAAAAATTCGACGCACAATTTTTTTTTTTTATTGTCATGATTCATCTCACAAGAAGATAAGTGATAATTATATTAACCAGCTGTTCGAGCACATTGCAAAGCTGATTTACCACTGCATGTAAGACCACCAATACAATCCCAAGGAGCCTTTCCACGTGTAGCACAATCAAGCATTTTTTGACCACACTGTAATGTAAAAGCTGTACCCATACATGTAACAAATATATAAACACGTGGCCCTAAAGCAGCTACAACTCGAGCTACAACTGCTGCTACAGCTGGAAATATTCGTCCTTCCGCTACAAGTTCTTGTTCAAGTTCATCATTGATAGTTTCAGATTGAGATGCAAATATTCCCGAAAATAAGAAAAATAGAAGAATAAGATGAATACAGTAAACTAAAATAAATGATAAATTCATTGACATACTATGAAAACTTTATTACTGAATTACCTTTCATTGTGACAGTGCTAAGCCGATTGAAAGACAACAAGATACAAAGACTGCTTTTATACTATCAACAATATGTAATCTCTTTGATGAGATTGTTAACATATGTTTTTTTTTTTTTATCATTGATAAAAGATTCTTTCATCGTAAATCAATAGATAGAAAAATCAATATTTTGTACTTAATCGATAAAATATTTTTGAAAAAACAAAAAGAATAGACATTTCATTTAAGAAACTTAAGACTTTACTTATCTTAATTCAACTACACAGTTGAAGCGTAGAAATGTTAAAATTAAGTTATGCTTAGTTTTGAAAAGTAAACAATATTTTATAACTAAATTTTGACTACGTTGAACTCTGCAGTTATATATTATGTATGTAAAAAGCCAACATTTCGCATAATTTTACCTAATACTATTTACAATTGTTAGAAAAGACTCTTCATCAAATGACAAACTTTATCAAAGACAAAATGACAACTTAATTCCAAACATAACTTCATTTGTTTGATTAAATAGTAATCAGATGCTATAATAACTAAATGACAGTTGTATATGTACTCTAAGTAAGCAAAGAACAGAACATTCTATTGATGAAGATGTAAAAGACTAAATTTTTCGATTGTTTTTATGATATGACTGGAATAAAATTTAAAATTTTCAAAACCTCTGTCGTTCGAATTATATCAGCCAAGTAATGCGGTACTATAGTTTTGAGAATTCTGTTAAATTTTGGTAAAAAATTAACAAGATTTTTAATTCTAATTCAGAGTTTGAGATTAAAGTTGACCTTGTTTACCTCTATTCGTAAATTTTAATAGAATTGTAAGTAAATATAAAGATTGTTGATGCTACGGAAATTTAATACTATTTATTGTGACATTCAGTGGCAGTGACATCTCAAATGATCGATTTATATTTCTAACTATGAAATTTTACTATTTCTTCTGGACTTCAGAATTGTACCTTTTCACAACAAAAAAAATATCTTATAGATTTACAATAATCCGATGACGTTATATTTTTCTTTTTGTTGAAAAAGAGGACAGTGACAAGTGCAAAAATGTACAAAATAATCTGATTAAAAATATTTTCTGAAAGACCCCAAAAACTAAAGAATTTAAGGTATTGCGAAATTCTTTTTGAACTTTGTGGTAACAAGTTTTGTATTCGATTTAATATTTTTAATCTTATTGATTATCGACTTTGAACAACAAATAGTTCAATTACCAAAAAAAAACATAATTTGATATTTAAAGCACGAAAGCATAGTTATGTTTGAATATCTCAAAGAGAAACTTGGTTCTATTCTAAATACTATTATTTAGTAGAGAACTCGATAAAATTTCTTGTTTGTATAAAATATATACATTCTAATAACTTCTCCTTTGGAATAAAATTATGCTTTTCTTGGATTGCAATCACTATGTACAAAAAAAAATTGATGGATACCAGCTGATGCCATAATAGTGTTCATATCGATCGTTTTTAAAATACATTGAATGTTTGTGTTTTTTTTTGGGGCAGCAATAGTTCTCTCTTCTTACATTATACAATTCGGAAAAGAAAAATACAAATAAAAACTTTTATATTGTATGCAGTTTTTTCTAAATTCAAGAAAAAACCAAGTTGCAAAAGGGTTTCGTTATATCTTTTCTTCTAAGATTTTCGTAATCTTCAGGAAGCATTGTCGATCAAGTTCTTTTATATATTTTTGCACTCAACATTTTGCTCTTGCTAATTAAAACAAAAATGATTAAATATCTGCTATATTGCATTGCAACGATACATGAAAAACAAAATTAATGCAGAAATGTTGCCTTACCTGATTTTATAATGTTAGAAAGAAATTCTTTGATGCTTTTTCAATCATAAAAATATTTGATTTCCTTCATTAATAGTAGTAGACAAATATGGTAAGCACTTGTATAAAGTCTGTACGACTGAATAAAATATAGAGCCGTTAATTTATACTTGCTTTATATATACGTTGAAAGAAAATCATAATTTGTGTCTAGTTCATACAATGCAATTTCAATCCATAATTTTCTAAAAGTCAGATGTAGTCCTCTTCTTTCTAGATATATAAACGTTTGTCAATATGAAACAATTCATTTTCAAAATGATTTCGGTATATATGTGTTTAAATAAAATTTGCGTATTTGTTCTTCGATGTAATATTCCACAAGAATCTTTTCAGTCGAAGTATTGGTCTATTCAATACTTATAGTTATTATATACTCGTTTAAAAGAGATTTATATGAAAAATTTCAATCCATATATATTAAAGAGAACAAATTTTTTTCAAATAAATGATTCACAATGTGTTATTAGATTCGAGCCGGATCTTATCACAATTCATATTTTATTTTCAAAATATACAGACATTCTCTTATTTTTCTCTTATTATTGTTTGATTAATTTATGCCACATCGAAAATGATTGTCGTTGTTTAAATCGTTGCCAATGAATTGTACCAGTACCAGAACAAAAATATGGTGAAGCAAGTTTAACTCGAGCTATACACCGATGTTCATTCTTACCATTTGCATTGGAATATAAATTAATCATAATCATTATACGATCGAGATTATTTGAATTGAATGCTAATATATTAATATTAAATGATTCATTAAGAGAAAATGTTGAAGAATTTAATCGATAAGATTTTGTTTGATGAGTTGATAATGGACGATGACGATCAAGAAGAATTACTCGAAAATAACAAGTGGCCACTAAAATATTTTTATATTTTGTTTTAAAAGAAAAATCACATCTTTCAACTATAGAAACTAACTAGAATTTTTTTGATCAATTTTTAATCCTTTAATACGTTGTATTTCAACAGTTAAATAATGATCATTATTTTGTTCAAGTAAAACAAGTATTTCCATTGATGACTAGAAATGATTTAAAAAAAAAAAAAAAAGAAAATAGAAATGTTCGTTTTTTGTTTGTTCTTACTGTTTTGATAATTTCAATTTCATGTATAAAATCAATTGGTTGTTCGTTTTCAAAATTATTTATTTGATTGAAATAAATTTTTCCAATTTGTCCAAGTTGAATTGTTTTTTTTGTTTGATCTTTACCATAGAATTTCATTAATATAGCTTTTACATGAAGTTTAGTTAATGATATATTTGAAAATTGTATTAAATATTCATTATTATCTTGTGCAAAAATATTTTGATTATGTAAAATATTTTTTATAGACAAACATTTTACTTTTCCATCAGGAATTAATTTAACTTGAATTGTTAATTGTTGAAGTTGAATTGTTGATGGTAATGATGTTAAAGAATGAAAATAAATTTTTATTTGTGATGATTTATAATAAACTATTGAAAATGATACAAGACATGGTAAAAATTGAGTTGATGATTTTATTGTTTTTATTATTGAATCAATTGTAGTTTGCTTTGATTCATTTATATTATTACAAATAGCTAAAGATCGACGACGAATTTTTTCAGCTGTTGGTGGTAGTGAAAATTCAATTTGTGCTATTTGTTTAGAATCAATAATTGAACTTCGTCTTCTATTTGAACATTTTGTTATAAATAAATTATTGACTAAACTACGTGAACGTAATTGATTAGGTTTTTGTTCCTTGAAATTTATATTTGTTAAACGATAAGGATTTGAAAGTTTCAATGGATATGCTAATTTTTTTGGTATTATATTAATTGATGGTTGAGTTAAAGATGTTAATCTTTGATTTTCATAATTGAATGATGATTTAAAATTTTCTCGAAAATGAATTAAGGCATAAATAATTAGTAATGATAGAAAAAATATGCTTATTAGGATAAGAATTAAAATTAATGTGACCATTTTTCTTATATTTTTTGAATTAAAACAAGTATAATATCTAAAATAAGTAACTTACCTAAGTAAAATGAAAAAGTTTTGTTTTTTTTTTTTTACGAAGAAAAAAAATTATTTTGATTTATTTATTAAAAAGTCTTTTCATGGAAATCATCCATGTCGATTGTAGATCATGTACTTCTATTGTCGTTTGTAGATTCATTACCATTTTGAATGTTGACAGACCTTTAAGAAATAAAGTCAAAAAAAAAAAAGAAAATCTATAATATACTAGATGCCCGCAGAATATATGAAACTAAAAAATCGCAAAATTTACTCAGTTAACTATAGTTTGCTGTTTAAAGAAAAATAGCTAGTGTTCATGTTTCAAAGATTACAAAACGTGATAATATGAATAATAGGAAAACATATTTAGCGATAAAATGTCAAAATGTCTAACACTTGGGAATTTTATTTTATGGCTCTTCTTTTTGTCGACTATATTCTCTTTGTTTTATGTCATCTTTCTACAATCTTCATCTGTATTCTGTCACTTTCTATCCCCAATCCATTCAATATAAATTGTCTTTATATATTTCTATTTGTTATTTGAAAAAACAAGGTAACTAAAAACACCAACATAGACACGTTTTCATTTAACGGACTCTATAAATAAGAAAGTCAACAAACCAGTATAAATACTTACATTTATTAATTATAAATAAATTCAGATAAAGGCAAAAAAGTTCAAGACTAAAAATACTAAAGACATTGTAGGAGGAAGAGAAGAAAAACTTGAAAAGAAAACGAGAAACTGACATGGTTTCCAAATACAAATAAAACCTAGCTAGCTGGCTTATGGTTTTAAATATAAGATAAGAATGATGAAAATAATTAGAGAAAGAACATATCTTATGTAGCTTAAATATTTTACTATGTTAATTTCCAGCATCATTCATGTTTCTAAGCATAAGATACAAAATTCAAATTCTTTAATAACAATATTTTAGATAACAAAAAAATGTCTATATAATCAAATTCAATTATATATGAAAGAAATTATTATTAAAAAAATTTATTTTGAATATATAAGAATATGATTAATATTCTCTTTAAAAAAAAAGGAATTATAAAAGTTGGTTCTTTATTTTTCTACACCCACTCATGTAAATCAGAACAGAACTTTGCTAGTGTAAACCGGAAAAAGACTAATTACATCTAGTTGCTTTCTCTCGGGTGGTTGCTGTACAGAAAAGAATCAAAGAATATAATATTCTAATGCAAATATACACACGTATTTACGGTGAATAAAACTACCCTACATAAAAATTTAGTAAAGAAAAAGAAGGAAAGATGCCTCATTTCCTAATGATATGATGAAACAAGCAATTCTGACGTCAATGGAACTACAAAAAACACGTGCCTTTGTAGCAAATCGAATTCAATTATAAAGATGACAAGTAAAAGAACAGAAAAGAAAAACAAGTAGCATCTTCTTATTCTTATCATTAATGAGAACAAATATATTAATGAAATAAATAAATAAAATAGAAAAATTACTGCAAATAACATTCATCATACATAAGAATAGAAACCGGTAATCCGCCAATATTAAGATGATTATTTCTGTAGATTTTTTATTTTATTTATAGATCATAATTTCTCTTGTACTATTCATTAACTAGCAATTATATTAATAGTAAATTAGCTTGATTTTAACAAAAAAAAACAATTTTTTAATTGATTTCAAAGAGTTCTTTAATAATAAAAATATTTTATATTCGAACAATAGTTGATATATATTATTTATAGACCGAAAAACGTTAAAATTAATTATTTTTAATTATTAGGTTAATTTTTTACTATTAAATCAATGACTTAGATATAGGATTTTATAACATAACGAAAAAAAAAAAAAACACGATTTTTCGTTATGTAATAATTTATCAAAAACAAGTGCAAATACAATGAAACGATTTATTGTGTTTTTAATAAGTCAAGATATATAACAAAATACAAGAATAAAAATGAAAGAAAAGCAAAAATGCTTTAACCAAACAATTATTTGATGATAGCTTATTGTACTTGTTGATAAAAATACGTCATATTTCAAGTGCATGATGGGGATAAGAATCGTAAATAAAAATTATCACCCAGCATATATTTATAGACGTAGAATCAGAATTGTTTTTCGCCTCTATATTTGCATGGGAATAATGACGACGCATGATGACTGATTTGAAGGCATATATATTCTATTGGACGTTAATTTTCTTTTTTCGTTCTTACCATGACGGCAATACACTTACTTCATAAAATTTCAAGCAGACGAAATATGTCCATTGGACAAACGCTTTTACTTTATTATCGTATTTTTTTTTATTATTTATATTCTGGAAAAGGTATCAATACATATTCTACTACTGATATTGATCATCGTATATTAATTCATATATATTCACTTGTTTTAACAATTCGTCTTTTTTCTTTGTCACATTACCGAGCAAAATCTTATGGTGATGATTTACGAGCTAATTTACGTAATGTTATTGTACCATTTACTGGCATTCCACTTTCAATATTTTGTTTAAATAAATTTTTTTGTTTATTTTTTTTAATATTTATTTATCCATTATGGGCATTTGTTGGTTCTATTTATTTATCAATTTATGATTCAAGAAAAAAATCTATTGATCAACATTTTTATGAACAATTATTAAAACCAAATCATTGGTTTGCAACATGGCGTATAAATTGTACCATTGTTGCTTATCATTCTTATAAAAAATTGAAACAAACGAAAGAACAATATGCCATGGAGGATAAAGGTCGATTTTTGATTGAAGGAAAAAAATTAAATATACCCGTGACACCCATATTAGATATTCCTCGTATTATGATTAAACATAAATCAATCGAAGGTGGAATGGGAATTAATATTTACGATAATTTTGCTACGTAAGTTCAATAAGTAAAAATTGTTATAAAAATCAATACATATAGAAATTATTTTAGAAATTATGGCAATTGGATAATACAAAAAGTATTCTCAAATAGTGATTTTATTCAACGTCTTGTTACATCCGATGCACCACTTTCAACAGTACGTATAATAACTTCACGTGATCCTTCATCATCATCATCAATTAAAGTAAAAACAATGGTTTTTCGTGCTGGTCGTATTCGACAAAAAACTGATCATAATGCAATTTTTTATAATATTGATTTTAATTCTTCACATCATCTATCCAGTGGAACAACAAATCGTCATTGGTATCAAACTGGTTTAAAATCATTTGATACACAATCTATGTGGAGAGAACAGAATTATTCTTTTCATCCTGATTCTCATGAACGAATTGAAGGAATTAAATGGCCAAATGTAAATGAAATGATTCAATGTGTTTGTCAAGCACATGCAAAATTATGTCCTAATATTCCAATTATTGGTTGGGATGTTGCATGGACAAATGAAGATAATCCATTGATGTTACTTGAATTAAATATTTCATGTAATTTTTTCAATGGACATTTTGACACAAAAGAATATACTAATTTTTGTTATGAGTGGTATCATACACTTGATGTTTAAATAAAACAAACAAATAATGATCTGATTTCAATTGTTTTATCTGTATTGAAATCATAAAAATTTCAAGGTCAGCAAATGTTCTAGAACAATTACACATGTACATAAAACTTGTATCTGTTTGTAAATAATATTCTTTTTTTTTCCACTCATAATATAACTCATGGAAATTAACAAATCTATTGGTCAATCTAGATAGCAATATATCATATTAGTTGAAACTTACATTCAAAACTATGCCTTTGGTTTTTGATATTACCTCATGGATTTATGATCATTAGTTGTAGATAAAGTTGTTTTTTTTGTTTTCCTAGCTGTTGTCTTTTTTTGCGCTCCTCTATGCGACAAATTATTTTCGCTCGCATTTATTGTCACAAATAAAATCAGCAAAAAATTGCAGTAAAACGAGAATGATCATATGCTTCATATTCGATACATATAAAATTCGATTTAAAGTTGATCATGATACATTAATTAGAAATACGTTCGTAGTCAAGAATAGACATTGTCTGTTAGTGGTTTTCAAAAAAAATAATTTCATACAATATCGTAGCACATATAGATGTGTCAAATAATTTCAATATCACTTGGTTGTGAATTTAAGATGAAATTAGACTCTGTCAAAAAATAATTAGAGCAATTATGATTAAATCACTATGTTGTTTGACATGTATTCACAAAGTACTAACTATGTTCAAACGTCAGTACTACTAGCCAAGAAATGATTCTGAACAATTTAGGAACGGTTGTGTATCACGGATTACCCACCCCATAGCATGCTGACTACGGTGTAATATACACCTAGTCTTCTTGCTAATATGTAATTAGTTAGTATGCATGGGAAGCTCAAACAATTGCGCGCAAGAACTCTGTGTCAGATTGATCTGCTATTTAGATCTACGGCTAGTATTATTTGTGAAGAAGATACTAAGCTATTAAATCTACTGCTGAGCAATTTTTCATGTCACAACGTCAGCAGAAGTTAGAGGTATTTTCTTCTTCAAAAACTATGAGATCCATATTAAAATAAATAGATTGAAGATTTGAATCAGGAATATTTTGAAATCGAAATTTTATGCCTGCGTTAAATTTGATATCAAAAGTTGAACCATTCAGGCCGGACGGTGTGATCACCGACTAGATCAGTTTGTCGACATCAAATGTGGAAATACTGTATAAGGATTGAGTTCTTTTCTCTTGTCTTACAGATGTTGGATGTAATTTTAGAACAAAATAGATTTATCAAATACCAATTTACATCAATGTCACAGTATTTTTTTATTGAAAAAGATGTAGATGCTGAGATATGGTCTAGTAGTCATTGATCGTTCTATATGGAGGGTGTGGGTGTGAGTGGAATATAGTAGTCTTTTGGTACATACCGCCACCCACATCTCATAGTCGCACCCACTTCATACCCTTATTTTGATCGTGGTAC